AATGGATAAATATTGACCCATACGCATCTGTTTTCTTTTTTATTATTTATGTATGCGATCCTTTGCTTATACACATTGATATTTCCGACTCTAAAGCTGGATTTTGCAAAGAATATAAATAACAAAATATATTCGTAAGTACCGTATACGTACTACAATAATCACTTTTACAAAGCATGGCCCTGAAATTAGTTTCTTGAGGACGTATTTCGAAGAAAGCTGTGAATGAATCAACTTGTTAATACACAGTGTCATCGTACGTCTTTCCTCTTGTTTCTTGTAACATCGCGTAGAATGTCAGATGACGAATAGACTCACACGAGGTGAATTTTAATTCTACTTTTTCCTGAGTATAAAAAAGTATTATAAGGTCAATGTCCCTATTTCTCATCACGTCCCCAATTCTGCTGACTACGTATATTTTTTATTTAATGTAAAAAGTTAAACAATAATTAGTTATACAACAAATTATTTAAATTAGTATTTAAAAATACTTTTATTTAAATTCCATTATAAAGGGGGGTTTAAATTTTATACCTAATAAGATTTTTTGTCGATTGTTGCATAAATAAATAAAAATCAATTTCTGCGATAGCCGAACTCTTACATGATTAGAAATAGGGACATTGACATTAGAAGTCATCCGGATGGGTCGTTAAAAGGGTCATTTTCACGGAAGACATGGTCTCTAACTAGTTACCTTTCTTAAACCCCCAGAACAATGTTGTTAGGCAATATTCCACGTCTTTCATTAAGACAATTATTTATTGCTTGTCCGATCTGGACATTCACCGAAGTAAATAGTTCCAACTGTGGCGGTCGGGTTGCATTCCCCGGCGAGTTCCGTAAATCCAGTTAATAAACGTTCTAAGCGTTTGTTTGAACAGTTTGACGCTTTCTCCGAGTCTTTGTCGGTGTTAAAGCGTAACCTGAGAGCATACTCGTGACTTTCCAAGATAAGTTAAGGCATTGTACCTGATGTGAGACGATTGCTAGGTTGGTTGCCTGGTAAAAACAGAAGTTCTAGTGGAAGACAATAGATTCGTACCTGAAGAATCCCTAATCATTAGATTGCGGATTTGTATGGAAATACACATATCTATAGATGCTATATATTGAACTGAAATTAATAAAATTGTTAGTAAGCTGCACTACAATTTTTCTATATTATTTTTTGCGCATTTATATTTGGGATAAATGCATAGCCTTCCTACCAAGATTTTGATTCGACTTTTTTTGTCGTATTTTCTTACGTCATCTTTTTTGTCTATATACCACGACAAGTCTGCCGTTTTTACTTGAAAATAAAAAAGAGGTTTACGTACATTCGTGCACACCGACTATTCAATGCGCAGCGGAAAAGGAACATTTGCTGAGTGTTTAGAAAACGTGTAACCTGGATTACACGCGTCTCAATTTAAATTTCCCGCCATCGTTACCAAGAGGACGGAAGTGATCCGCATCTATAATAATCTTCACCGTTTCATGAACGACACGTATAGATAGTTTTCGATTAAAAAACTTCTTTTATTTTTAAATATATTTTTCAGTTATGAGTAATGTTAAAGTGTGCAAGTAAATTTTAGGGACACATGTCTGCGAGTGAAACTTCGAGAAGTTTGCGCGTCACTTTGTGATTCTTTTCTTTACACGCACACTTTTCCTCCGTAAGTGCTCGTATTGGAGCGAGGCCACGAAAGTCGGTCATTGTCTTCTTTATCGGTTTATACATAAGAGAAACGGATCACAGAGCGGATATTGAACTTCTTTCGTGAAAAATGTCAATGGACGCTGTGAAACGTTCGCAGCGATTCGTTTGAAGCGGATTCGGTATGAGATCGAGGTGACAATATACTCGAATAAAACGGCTGGTTCTGTTAGACAACCAACGGATATGTATTTTTCCCTTACTGCAACGGAAATCAGACAACTTTTCATCGAATAATACATGATTAATAAAAAATGATGCATGTTCGACTGTACAGTTCTTTAGATCAGTTTCTCAGTATTAAAAGTTAAATATTACATAATTCTATAATTACAAATTTTATTTCTATAGTTCAAATAGTGGCTCCAAAAAGTTTTTCATCTGTTATAAGATTATGAAGCACTGAAATAAATGTTAAATCGAACGTTAATTTAGTACGTAGAAATTTAGAACGTAAATTTCAGTAATTTCCGATACCAAGTTGTAGGAAGCCACACATACATTGCTTTTTCTCCTAGAAGAAACTGAGTTTGCACATGGGTGTACGTAAAACCCATTAAATATACGATAAAGAAGCTTGTGATTTGTTGGCAAGAATCTGTCAATTGAAATGGATCTTTCTTCGATCAAAATTATTCTGCTCAAGATAAGTCAAAATGGTTCAAACTTTCCAGTTCAATGGATAGTTTGTTGTGAATAGTTTGTTCAAGACATACACACCCTCTCATAAGTATTAGGACACTTACCCAATATGCAGTAAATGTTAGAAGGCTTTACGAAATTGCTGAATATTTAAAGTCAATATTGTTTCGGGGATTTTAAAGCCCGTTTAACAAAGCTTATCCTAATACGAAGTCATAAAAGTGGATTAAAATTGTATTATTTTCTACGAAACATCACGTTTTCTTCATTTATTTCGAAAGAAGCTGAAAGTGAATCAACTTGTTATTAGTGACATGGCATATCTTTTCTCTTAATTAATTACGATTCAACCCCAAAGTAGTCCTAGACCTATCCTGGACTATCCCGTCTTACCGGGAATAATATTGTTATGACGTTTGAAGCCACGAAATTGGCTTCGCGTTATAACCGAAGTTGCCTCTGACTTTGAGGATCGTTTTGAGGATCGGTCAGTCGTTTCGCTGACAACCGCACGTATTTAAAAAGAGAGTCTCCGACATGACATGAAAGAGAACGGATGTACTACATTTAGCTTGTATATAATTGTACATAATTAACGTTGTACAGTTGTACAGTTGTAAATAAACATCATATTGTATTACGTTCAATAATAAAATACTGTTATGCGGAACGCCACGGCGTAACATTGGTGTCAGAAGTGGAATGGCTACTCGCTCATCGGTTTCTGAGGAAGCATCTTCGTTCGAAAATTCATTCACGAGATTACAGTGGACACTACTCGAAGAAATGAGGAACCAACAACGTTCATTCGACGAGAAAATAGAAAGAAACCAAGTCAAAGCCCAAGAAAGAGAATCAACGTAGAGAGCGGCTCAGGTGGCTAAGGAAACGGCTATGGAAAAAAGAATAAACACCAAAGAAAATCAATATCAGGTCCTATCTATTAACATTAAAAATTTAGTAGAAAAGTTCTCAGCTTCGACAACTTCGTTTGGGAATCACGGACCCTCTTATAATACTTCTACTGAGCACGAGGTTCTTACTAGCGTAGCTCCGCAATCGACACCTCTTCAAAGAATTAACAGCGAATCTTGGAACGTATTTGAATTAGGATACGTTGTGAGCTATTTTACACTAGCTGCAGAAATAGAGAGGCTGGCATATGCCGCTTTTTGCGATTGTCCTGTAGAAATACGGCACAAACTTGCAGCTACTCAATTCATTTCTGCGTTAAGTAATGAAGAAGTGAAACGGACGCTGAGACTTGACGGTTTCACATCTCTTAGGGCAGCCGTTATTAGGGCCCTAAAGATTGAAGCCGTGCAGAACATATCAGACATTCTAGTAAAAGTACAAATGTTAAAACTTTTTACTGATTTTGAGGAAAATACATGTCGAAGAGGTGCTTCTCGGGGATCGTGGCAGGGATCCCAAGAGAAAATGGAGAAACGGCCAGCATGCTGGAGTTGTGGCAAAACGGGACATTTTGAAAAGGACTGTTTTAATAAGAAAAGGAAACAGGATAACAAGAAGAAATATTAGTAGGAGATCTTAGCGTAACGGATATACGAATTCGTTCAAGAAAGGAAAAGTTTTTGTTTTAAATTAGACTGTGAGACGAGTTTTTCTGGGCTGTATGAGATTGTTACAGGATGTTGTTAATTGCACAGAAATGATTACGTACTCTGTAAAACGCATGGCATCGGAAAGGTGATATGCGGCGTGGCCATGATGTAAAATGTAAAATGATGGAAGGTAACATGGTCACGCACTCTGTAAAGCGCGAAGCGTCGGAAAAGTGACACGTGGACCAAGCATAGATGAAAGGAATATACGAAATGATGGAATGTAACATGTTCACGCACTCTGTAAAGCACGAGTCGTCGGAAAGGTGACATGTGAAAACATCATGACTGTCGTAAGGTGTGTTAGAATGAAAAAGAGCCCTGAGGAATGATAGTTGTTGAAAAAGATGTTTTCCGAGAAGGTGAAGCAGATTAGTTTGGCTATGATAGCGTCAAGATATTTCGTTCTCCGAAATCAAAGCTACGGATTGACATCGTGAAGTACACGTGAATCGACTGGCACGGTTCAATTCACGTGAAAGTACACATCGAAAAAGATAAGAAAAGACTTGTTTCACCAGAGGAAAGGAAGGAAGAAGAATCAACGGATGAGAAGGATGATAGTCCAGCAAAGGCTTGGGACAGCAGATAATCTGGGTGAGAATTCCAACGGTCTGGTAAGCACTGACTTGATCCGCTCGCATGCGTACGGAGTTCGGTGGGGGGCGCAATGATTTACGAACCTGCACTTTTACCACACTGGGGAAGTCGGGTTCTCTTCGCAAATGCTCGACATAATCGAAGAGAGGAGGGCCCATCCCCAGGAACCGGTGTGCGAGATTGGCGCATTGACCACCGACTTGTCGGGAAGACTTCCTGAATAGGTCAGAGGTGCGTCTTGGAGATGGAATGCAACCCAGCTCAAGACTCACAATGCCAGATTGTACTGCACAGAGTCCTTGAAGTCGCTGACTACATCCTAGATCCATTAGAATGAAGTTCTATCGAGGATTAACAATTTTTAAAGGAAAACTTGGAAAATTCGTACATGGATTTAATTGTACATTGTTGCAGAAGCCTGAAGCATGAGGTCCGACGTCTTCGCCCAAGAAGAGGACGCTTCGTCGCAGAAGACGAGAACAAAAGAATTGTTTATTGGATGCGGAATTTTCCCCATTTTTTGTGAGGTCGGCAGAGGTAGTGTCATTCTCTTGTGGGTGGATGGCCCCTCACCCAGAGTTCCTAATCGCACAGCTGAGGTATTCTAGTATCGGTCTACGGACTGGTGGATGTTCGAAAAGAAGAACACACAATTGAAAGACACAAGTCTCAAGAGTCAAGGAGACAGGGCGAGGAATGGTCGGACATCCTCGAAGATAAATTCAATTGAGTTTCTTCTGAAGGTACCAGCATCTTACTCAAGGTTTTTACGTAGTTGTCCCTTGAGACGTTGGACAAATGTCAAGACGTCAGCTGTCTGAAAAAGGCCACTTAGGTATGAGTTTAGTTGACACCTCCTTTTCAGACAGGAGTACAGATTCAGAAGACTGAAATTGGCGCAGTCGGGACGACCGCTTGTCGAAAGAGGGGGGCAATGTTATGACGTTTGAAGTCACGAAGCAGGCTTCGCGTTATAACTGAAGATGCCTTGGACTTCGAGGATCGATTTGTGGATCAATCAGTCGTTTTGCTGACAACCGCGCATATTTAAAAAGAGAGTTTCCAACGTGACATGAAAGAGAACGGATGTACTACATTTAACTTGTATATAATTGTATATAATTAACGTTGTACAGTTGTAAATAAACATCATATTGTGTTACGTTCAATAATAAAATACCGTTATGTCGTGTGGCGAAATGCCATGGCGTAACAATATATTAAGAAACTTTGTGTCAGGAGCGGTCAAGTCTGGCATGAGACATGATCCAGTAACAGCGAAGAATAATAGAACCTTCTTTTAAGGTCGAAGCTTTCACTCGATTTCAGGTTAAACGTTAATTGTGCCGGTTAATAAAATCTGCAGCCGCGTTTTAAAAAGTCCCGTAAAAATTTCCTGTCGTGCTTGAAATTCAAATTTCGGTGAAAGTAGAAAGAGGCGACACTGAAAGCTGTTGCTAATTGGCCGGTAGTTAAGTTTTACAGACTCCTGGCTCTATGCTCGTCTGTGTGTAGTTTAGCGTAGATGGTATTAGATAGACTAATTCGATTAATTGCCAAGATTACTATTGACACTTTCGACTTCTTTTAGCTGACAGGCCTAAAAAATTATGGTTGCGTACTCGGCTCATTAATTATTTTTATTTTGTCATCAGTTGACTGCGGATATGTATATGCAAATTTACAATGTGGAACTGTGATATATATAATACATAAAATTGAATAGAATTTGGTTTTCTGTACTCGAGGTTCTAATATGTTAATAATAATACCTTAAAATTATCGAATTTTATTACGTTTTTGAAACTCAGCGGACGCTATAATTGCATAAACATCCACAGTCTAATCATCGCATGGAGTCATCACATTTACGAAACAAGAAAAAATGTGATTTCATTAAACGGAACGCGCCTGCCATTTTTTTCGCAATAATCACTTCACTATTGCTACAAATATTGCAAAGAAAATGATTCATTTTGTTTATTTGGTTTAGTTCCTTTTTTAATAATTGATCTTGTCATATACCAAAATACGATTACTTTAGAGGACTTTTGTTTTGTTTCATTACGTTTTATGTTTAAATGTTATGTCAAGCTGTTTTCTTACGCATTTTAGTAATAATAAAATACTTAATTAATGGCCACAGTTTTACTTCATTATCCTGAGAAGAAAGTGCACAAAAACTTAATACCAAATTAGGATGACCGTTTCTATGATTTTGTCTATGCGACTGCTTAAGTGCAAAACTTGGATCATAGCTGTCAACAAAAAGAAATCTTGACGTGTAGAAGGGTGAAGAAAAAAAAGAGGAAGCACCAATATCCTGGCAGTGATGAAATGAAAATCGAAAGTAACTTCTGTTAAGGTCAAACAAGAGAAACGGGATGAGCCGCGTTACGTCCGTTTAAGGTTGCAAGCTACATACTTCTATAAACAGTAACAATTACATAATCGTCGATGAGTTCCGGTAAAATAGATCGCTTTCGCTCCTCCAGAGGATGTCAATCACCTCTTTTCATCGTAAATCTTTTGTGCCACAGTACAAAAGATTAATTATTCATATATAATTATATTAATTATTTGTATGATTAATTATTATAGAAAAGATGAAAACGTTAAATTTTAAACAATTTTGTAATATCAAAGTCCTATATGTATACACAACACTAGTGCTCCCACATTTAGAATACTGCTCGTCCATCTGCAATACAAGGTGATTCACCTAAAGCTGTCACCTAAATTATTTGCAAACCTTTCATTACATGAAAAAATGTTTCAAACAAAGGTTGTATAGTATCAAGGGAGGCACACGATGTAGTAGTCAGTTTTTTTTATTTTGCTTTTTTATCGAGATACGAAGGTCTGTAAATCTGATAATATCGTTACGACTTTTTCTAACATTCTAAAAATCATTTCAGAAAGCAACTGTCCTCGCTAATACGTTCGAAAAATCATGTAACATGAATGTGCTGTTACACGCTATCTACTACGTACAGTTTCTAAATTGCTCCGTGTATTTTGTTAACCAAACGCTATAGACCCATAAATAAATTATTATTATTATTAAATGAACGGGAAGGGATTAGAGGACTACATTTTTCGTCGTGTATAACGAGCGTTATCGGTGGGTTGCGTCAGACACGAGTAATGTGAACGGTTTTCAAAAGAAATTGCATAGAAACCGATGGTATCCTCGCTGATGGAACGTTCAACAGGATCTACTTGGTCGAGAAAGAACGACCGGAGTAACGAGAAAGAAATGACAAACGAGTGATTGCTGAAAGTTCTGACATCGGGTCGAGTCGAATGGATACGTAGGTGGTTGGCTTCGTGCATCAGGTGCACCGATTTCGATCTCCAGTTACTGAGATTGCAGTAACGCCTTGCAAAATCGTGAAACAGGGCTGACAAATGTGAGAAAAATGCAGAGAAACGAAGAGGATAGAAACGGTTGCGTAACATCGGTATAGGAAAAGCACAAGGCTTTCGAGAGTCCTGCAATTTTAGGGTCGAATGTCCGGATTACTACTGACAGACAGTATTTCATCAAACGGGTTTAACGGGTCTAAGTTTTTATTTATTTGTAAAATAATAAGAGCGAATCCAGATGTATCTTTTTACCCAATGTATATTACTATCGTACAGATTGAAGAAAAATTTTCTAAGAAATACAAGATATATACAGTAAATCCTCGATGAGTGTTCGAAGACTCCTCGGCACTGAACATTAGAATAAGGAGGCGAAAAACATGAACAGTACGCAGAATAGAAGATTCACGTTAAAGTAGCGGTGCGGGTTTTTTCTAGAAACGCTACTTCGACGTGAGCCAATGGACACGCAACATCTCGTAGCAGTTCGGTCGATCCACCAATTGGATCAGAACTTTGGTTACAGATGACAACCGATAGTAGGGTGCGCACACGTGTGTGAGTAATGCGTCTGAGTTGGGGCGTTCCTACCGCTACTTTAACGTGCGCTACTTTAACGTAAGTATACTGTGTGCAGGACATGGTGGAAAAGAAAGCTAAACTCGGTCTCACGATACTCTTTACTGGTACTTACATTTACCTTTCTCTCGACGCGACGATAAAGGCTTCTCCTTCTTGTCGGTCCCGCTATCTTTGTCGCGGTTCCCGTTTGCCCGAGCTTCCAGGCGTGTTTGAGACTGTATGAGGGCGGAGTTACGCAGCTGGCAGGATTTTTCACGCATCGGGAAACGAATTGATCGAGGGGAAATAGGGGTTTTTACATGCCTCCTTCCCTGACTGTTACGCTCATAACGCTTTTCTCTTATTTCCGTATTGTTTGACCAACCGAAAATTCTACACTACCATTACGGACCCAGTTCCTGATCAGAACCCAATTCCTGATCAGTTGAGTATATGTATAGACACCATATAATAAGTTCATTATGATACAATTTTTTTCCAAAAAATTACTAAATAACTGTTTTGAAATTTATACATAAATTTGATACCTCAAAGTGAGATACAGATACATGATTTAGGTGATCAGGAATTGCTCCCTTCGTATTTAGAAGTTTAATACACTTTTTGTTTAGAATTACAACATATTTGTATTTATTAGAATTATTAAATTTTTGAATGCTAAAGTGACTTGTAGGCCATCCTGTGTTACCAATATACCTATGTGAAGAAATTCTGATTCCGATTGAATATGCTTAACGTTTAATCTTTATTGGCGGGGTTCACACTACAGTGGACTCTAACTACATTGCCACTAAACATATTGCCACGCGGGGTACTTCCCCTTCGCACGTACTTTCGTACACATAAATTCGCTCTCCCACCACGATCCAGCTTTGGTGCAGGTGCTAAGACCGAAGCTACGATGATAGAACTTAGCATGGAGGGGGCTCTGAACTTATTGCCATTTTACTCCCCTACTGCCCCGACCATGGCAATATAGATAGAGTCCACTGTGTGTATGGTGGAGTTTTTTTTATTTAGGATATAGTTACGCCTGATGTTTGTATGTCCAACTACTAGTCTATTAATCATTATTTGTTCTCTTTTGTTCAATCTGGTAGTAGCGTGATTCGTATAAAAGTCGTCTGTGATATCTGGTAATTTAAAGAGTATATCATTTTTACTATTTTTCATTCTATTTCTGCCTGAGGCAACCATTTTAGTAGTTTAGGAAGTTATTGTGTTCTGTTGGAGTTGTTTCGATAGATTGTAAAAAACAGTACTTCGTTGGCAGCACTATTTGCTCTTTCATTGCCTGGCATTCATCGATGGAAATCATCCTGCATATTCTAATCCAATAATAGAACGTTTGACAAGAGTACAATAGGATCTACAATAATTTTGTTTAAATCACCTCATGACTTTGCTAACATCGCGTTTTGTATAGAGCAGGAAAGTTACGAAATCTCGTACAATAACGTTTGACGTAACGCAAGAAAGGAGAAAGATGAACACACGACACTAACAACAAAGGAAAAATAAGGGGTGGGGGAATGAGTATTGCCCAGCGATATTGTCCGACTCTATAATCGGCGGAATAATTACGTTCTCCCCTTAGTAGGCGATCCAACGGACCGATTTCTCTGGTCGCAAAGAATCGGCAATTAGA